GAAGTGTAATATAAGCTAATTTATTTATAAAACACTTGGTATGCTATTTGGCAATGAAAATGTATTTATATATATATATATATATATATATATATTAGTGAAGATTGGGGGTGTCATACTCATTAGAGAATAAGGTTAGATGTAAATTTAAATTATTAATCTCAACCCAACAATCGCCAAATGCCACATCCATCCATCCATCTTTGGTTTCATCAAAACAGTCAACAGCCGGCCCTCTTTAATATATGTCTTTCTCCTCCATCTCCTTTCATATATACAATCATCCTTCAACTTTACATCACTAACACAACTCCAATGGACGGTGGTGCCCGGAGGAACATATTCTCTAATCATTCAAAAGATAAAGATGAAGATCTTAGTTTGTTCCGAGAGATGCATAAACATCGAGTCCTTAGCCTTCTTCACCCTGTTTTCGATGACTTTGAATCCAACGGTAACTTCTCTATCAATCTACCTATACTTATGCAATCACAACAACGACTGGTGTGGTGATATTCATATCCTTTTGAATTGTAGGAAACTATCCACTTTACGCCATCCCATCATCAAAGAAAGGACCAGGGATAACATTCCTTGGAGAGACCCACAAAAATGATTATGACTGGTAACTATCCATCGCCTTCGCCTTCGCCTTCCTTCATGTATTTATTCTTTTAAAAAATAGAGCACGACTGATCCTTGTGCTTCTACCCAAGGTTGAAGACACCACCCGCCACCCCTCTATTTCCATCCCTCGAGATGGAAACCATAAATAATCACGAGCTTGTTATTCAACGCGAATTGCCCATCATCCACCCCTCTATTTCACGGGTATGTATGCAAACTCGGTGTTCCTTTCTCCACCTGTATGACCATCGTGTTCTTGGTCTAACCCCAACCTTAGTTTGCAGCAAAACCAGAAGAGATGGAACCAAAGCATAGAAGCATTGGTGCCGATGCAGGAAGGTCTAAAACAACAAATCCTAAACCAAAGATTCCAGCAAGATCAGTAACACCTAACGGGAGGTCAAGCAGCTTGTTCACTGATCAGAAGAAGAACATAAAAACAGCTCCGATCCCATTGATCAGCACCGTCAACAGGACTGGTGTGACCGAACTCGCCCACAAGTCGAATACGACCCCATCTATATCAAAACCATTGAGTGAAAGAGATGGTTGTTTCAATTTCCTGGGTACAAATCAATCGAAAAGCATTCAGGGAATGAATCCGTCGTCAAGAACCACACAAAGAAGTAGAGGGGTTTCACCTCTGGTAACATCCAGGACGCCAACCTAATTTCCTGGTTTTTCAGACGAAACACCACCGAATCTAAAGACAGATCAATCCACTTCGGCTTCAAGAGGACGGCCTATTAACCAAAAAAGTAGTCAAAACACCATAGTTGCACCTCCTCAGAAACCTAAAATTTCCAGTATGAGAGCAAGAAGGCAGTCGTGTTCACCGAGAGGTCGAAAAATGGCACCTACAAGGGAAGAAAACATGACCACCATGGCTGCTCAAAAGGGTAGTAGTATAATGTTTCAAACATGAATTGGTGGCCAGATTCTTGGAAGCAGGATGGTGGACAAGATTATAAACGCCAGAAAATCAAGCATTGAGGAGAAAGAAACAAAGCTGAAACTCAAGGGTTCGATCAATGAAGGATCTGGTTATRGAAGGATCATGTCGAAGAGCTCATTAGATAYGGTATAGATTTTYCTTTCGTTCATTCATCATATACTTCAATTCATGAAAGAGATATAGTTGGATAGGGTTTGACACACTGATGCTTTATGACTCGCAGGAAACTAAACGAGATACAGTTCATTCTCGTCAAGTTGGAACATCGATGGGAAGAAAATCATCATCCACGACTTATCGATGATTCTAAACATAGATTTCGAGTTCTGTTTCCATCTACTTGTATTATATATTGATATATTGGATAATTTATCTTAATGGCGAAATCATGTTCCATGAAACCGACAATTTCTGGATAGAATCCAAATGGCGAATAGAAACTAACAAATTGGAACATCTTCCGAATTGGAAGCACTAACCATAATCCTATTCTATAATCATTTGTCTTGTCTTGCTTATATGTATCTATAAGCAACCAGTAACACATTCGATATAAAAAACAAAACAAAATCCATATCGAAAACAAAATCCATATCGAAACCAAAACCCAAATGAATATGAGTTCGGCAGTTCTCATTGCAAATCGAAACCGATCTGAAAAAATTCGGAAATGAAGAAAGACGCTAATGGCAACCCTCCATCGTAGCACCACCATTTGTATCGCTTACACCCTCGAACAGTAACTGACTGATGAGGGCATGAACTCTAAGTATAGGATGGGTGGTGGTTGGATGCTAACAGAATGACCGGAACCACCTAGGAGACGTTTGAGAGACACATAGAAGCGGAGGGTGAGTTTGGAGGTGGTGGTCAGGAAAAAAATGGCGAAGATGCGCTGGTCTTGGAGTAGGAATAGGGAAGGACGCAGTGAGAAGAACCAGTTAAGAGCATCTCTAATTGAACGGCAATTTCACGATTTTGTCGTTTTCACAACTCCAATCGGACGGTAATTTCCCAGCACTTCATTTAAACGGGAAATATGTTGTGTAGTCTTGGGAAGCGAAAAAGGTGGTCGCCACCCTTTAGTTAAAAGCCTATTTTCATTAAAAAGAATGTTTGAGATTGCTTATAAAAGCTGTTTTTTAACTTATTTCAGTCTGACACCGATGATAAGTTGTTTTCTGGTGTTTGGATAAAAAAAACTGCTTGTACCGGTGCCAAACCAGTAATAAGCTGTTTTTGATAAGTTAATCCTTCCTGACTTATGAAAAACTGTTTATTACCAGTTTACAATTTTAACCCTGTTTTGTTTAACTCCGGTTTGATACAACATAAGTTAATAAGCACTTTTATAAAAAAACATAAGTTGTTTTAAATAAGCAATCCCAAACACCCTCTTAATAAATTATTGATAAATAACACAAATATTTTTTATTTTTCTTAAAAACAATTTTTAATGCATAAAACACTATTTATTAATGGATAGAGTCTTAAAAGTCTTAAGAACAAGATTATAAGCGTGATGTACAAGCCAAACTCTTTATTTCACAGTCTCATGTGGCGCCTCACCCAAGATACTTCTCACCCTCTCAATTTCACAGTCCCAATATGGCGATTCACAGTCTCAACGCTCTCATTACTTCCCTTTCCCCAGGACGTCGATTCAAGCTCTAGTTACCTGTTGTTTCAAAACCCTTTGCAGATTAATATAAAAGGTCAGTCGAGAAGAATCGTACCTTTCACTTGTGGGTTTCTGTTTTCCTTCTTAAACCCTAATTTTATCAATTCATATATAATCGTTCCTTTCACTTATGAGTTTCTATTTTCCTTCTTGATTTCTGCTTTGAGTTTCTTAACACAAATGTTTTATATTTTTCTTATATATATATATATATATATATATATACACACACACACTAATCATTTGACAAAAACTTTAAAAAATTATTCTTTATGCATAAAGTACTATGTACTAATGCATGAAGTACAATGTACTAATGCATATTACTTAAAATTTGGGATTACAAGTAAATTGTGTATAAATACAACTTATTAAAGCTTTATTTTTGAATTCGTATAACTAACTGCAGATAAACATAATCAAATACATGATAAATATATCATTTTAAATATAAAAAATTTAAAATATGATTAGGATAATCTTTGAGTTTCAACATAATCATTATCTTTATAAAAAATTTATTGTTAAGCCAAAAACAAATTAATTCACTATTTGGCCTAAATTAAGTTATAATAAAAAATTGAATTAAAGAAATTGTATTAAAAAACGGGAACTTTTAAATAGTTAATTTGATATTAATATCGATATATTTTTAAAATTTATTATTATTCACAAGTAAAAAACATTATTTTTTCTCAAAACCACATAAACCGTATTATATCAACAGATACAAAAAAACGAAGCATTAAAATGGAGATGTATCTCCTTGAATTGTACGAATACCCTTATAGTATACAATAATAATAATTTAACCACGTTAATAAAACTAAAAGGGTATTCGCACAATACAGTGCATTATATCTCGATTTCAATGTTTCATTTCATTTTTTACTCTCTGACGATGTTATAATACAAATTTATGTGGTTTTGAGTCATTAATAATGTTTTTCTTAATAAAATATAAATTTGAAGATATCATAAAAATTAAAAAATATATATAAAAGTTTTTAATTTAGGTTTAATAATGAAATAATTTATTTTTGGTTTAATAAATTCTATACTATATTATAAATCATTTGATAAAAACTCTTAAAACCTATTTTTTATTCATGAAATACTGTTTATTGATGCATATTACTTAAAATTTCATATTACAAATAAATAATATGTAAGTACAACTTAGGGGGTGTTTGGGATTGCTTATTTTAGCTGTTTTTTGACTTATTTCAGTCTGGCACCAATGATAAGCTAAATGGTAGTGTTTGAATGAGGAAAAATAAAACTGTTTATGCCGGTGTCAAACCGGTAATAAACAGTTTTTGATAAGTTAGTCATTCCTGACTCATGAAAAACTGTTTATTACCAGTTTACCATTTTAACCCTGTTTTATTAATGTTTGTTAATTATTAATCTTATTGATATAAATTTTAGTCAAAGATATTATTATGAATGATGAAAAATAAATTTTTACATGTTAAAAAATAAAATAAGTTAATAAGCAATCACAAACACTCCCATAAGTCAATAATATGAAAGACTGTATTTTTGGTCATTTTACATATATAAGCAAAATTTGTCAAACACTAAAAAACATCTTATCAGCTTATTACTTTTTGGTACCGCTATAAGTTAATCCAAACACTTTTTACAAAACTCCGGTTTAATACCACATAAGTTAATAAACACTTTTACAAAAAAACATAAGTTGTTTTAAATAAGCAATCCCAAACACCCTCTTATTAAAGTTTCATGTTTGAATTTGTATAACTAACCGCATATAAACATTAACAAATAAATGATAAACATTACATTTTAAATATAAAAAAAATTTAAAATATGATTAAGATAATCATTGAGTTCTAACAAAATAGTTAATTATTATCTTTATAAAAAATTATACTATTAAACCAAAAAAAATAAAAGAAATGCATTAAAGAAATATACAAAAAATGAGAAATTTTAAATAGTTAGTTTGGTACTAATATCTAATATCAATATATTTTTAATTGTTTATGATATCTTCATATTTATATTTTATTCAAAAATAAAAACATTATCACTTTCTCAAAACCACATAAAACTGTATTATAACATCGATTGAGACAAAAAAATAAAACGAAACAATAAAATCGAGATGTATCTCGCTGCATTGTGCGGGTA